CTCTCCGTTCCCACCGTTTTGAAGGGGAATTTCCTCCTGTAGTAGAGCACGGCGTCGAAGAAGAACGTCTGAAACAGCTACTACGTACGGCTTTGCATTCGGCTGCGAGGGAATCTGAACCAACCTCCACGGCTGCGGCACTTCTGTCTGGAGCATCGCCAACAACCGTTGCTGCATCGACAATGGATCCCCGCCGATCGTTCGAAAAGCAGATCTGAGCTCGCTTGTATTCGGCTCGACAGAAGTGGAACGAACTACTGAATGGGCTGGTTCCGTCGAATGAGGTGATGCATCCGACAGCTCTTCATCTCTGTCCATTGATTCATCACAGGACATAGATGGAACAGGAGAAGTGCAATCACTCATCTGAAAAGCATTTCATGAAGGGCGGAAGATGGCTGCGAAAGAGACTGTTCCACACAAAGAAAGGAAACACTGGAGAGAGCGCCCAATGGTCAAACAAGGTTGTGGGCTTTCAATTCACATTCACAGTCACGCAAAGGACATACTAAGCTTTTGACATCGTACAGGAAGTAGAAGCCCTGGACCTCCTTGAAGTAGAGGAAGGAGCCTAACTTTCACAGTCAACCATTTGGTAACCATTTGGTTTCCTATGAAAAGGCTGGGCTCATAGAGAGCAGTGTTCAGCTCAGGGTCAACTGATGATGAGAGTGTTCTGCTGGAGCCAGAACACAGCGATTACCCGGCGAGTGCCATGCGGCAACAATTGGGGCACGTTCTCGGACCACCCTAGCCATCATAGCGGGGGTCACCAGAGGTCAAGTTTGAACGGGCCATGTGGTGAGCATAGGAATGAGGGGCGGTACGAGCTTGCGCAATGTCCGCACGGTTAATCACAGTGGTGTTTGTCGAGCGGGTCAGTTGCATACACTCAAGAGTAGCCGATGTGATTTGAAAATGTTTTATGACCAAGTGCTAACGACCTCAAGGGTCACGCAAAGGTGGAGCTAACGTAGGTTTTACCTAGAAGTGGTTGGGATACACCTAGCGTTTTAAATGTTAGCACCTCTCTCAATAATGCTTCTCGATGTGCTATGGGAGGATTTGATGCCCGGAATTGGAATATATTTGGTGGGAGATGCTTTCGTTGTCGAAAATAATCACCCCTATAAAGCAGATTAACCGCATTAACATGCCATCATACTCACCAGTTATGTGACCTGACGGATCAAGATACCTTCGAGGCTGATCAGCTTATGCTATTCTCTATTCTCATTCTCTGCCATTTCGTACCAATCGCCAACTAAGTGGCATTCAGCTTTGGATTAGATCCATATCCAAAGTAAGCCTAATCGATCATTTGATCTATGTTCGTACCTATGGTCTGTATATGATAAATGGAGAGTGGAAGAAGTTGCAGCGAGAAGGTTCAACAGCTTCATCACGGAACGAGAAGCGAAGCTAGCTTGCTAGGAGTGCAGAGGTTT